GCACAAAGCTGCTCTGATTAAGTCTGATTTCAATGGAGTTGTGTAATCATTAACATGATTAAATTATCAGCTTGTTTAAGTAACTGTTGTGGAAATGCCAAAAGGAGAGAGTGTTACAGACTATTTTAAAAACTTCAGGAACTTGCAGAAAACCATCCACATAAAAAAACATCCTTCCAAGCAATACTGGTGCAAGTATTTAGTGCTTTTCTTCTACATTACAGCACGTTTTCAAAAACGTTAACAGGAAGTTTGTCAAAAACACCCCAAGCCCCATGAATTTAGATTTTCTGCTCTGTAAAAATTTTTAAAAATACAGTGAGGGAACAAGTAGATCAACATGACAGAGAGTTGCTTATGGTCACCCTCCCCAGATTTCCATTCCTGGATTGCCATACCACTGTCCAGAAATAGGAGCTCTTCCTTTTGTGCCACAGGGGCTCTGTTCCAGATCCAGAGCCCGTGTTCCTGTTCCCCGTGGAGACGTGGATCCTCCCATTCATGCCTGAGCGTGGCCCTTTGGTTGCCCTTTTCTACTGGTAACTCTGGAACTTGAATCATGGAATCACAGAATGGTTTGGCTTAGAAGGGACCTTAAAGTTCACTCAGTTCCAAGTTGCTGACATAAACAGGGACATGTCCCACGACACCAGGTTGCTCCAAGCCCCATCCAACCTGGCCCTGGACACTACCAGGGTCAAATTAACTTATTGCCATGTTACTTCTTTGTGGTTGCACTCCACGTGCCAAAAATTAAGAGCGTTAAGGATCCATGCCAGGTCCCTCATTTCCTGGTGTTCATTCTGCTTTGTCCTGTAGGTAAGTTGTAGATCAGGAGTAGATACCTCCCTGTCAAGTAGAAAGTTTTGCAGATTATTTTGATTACAGAATGAGCCTTCATGGTAAGTGAAATGAATGTTGCCTTTCAAATATCCTCATGCTTGGTTGCTGTTAATAACAATGGTGGAGGGAGGTTTATCTTCCAAAGAATAAAGCATTTCCCAGTGTGCACTACACAGCTTTTTATCAAAACCCTTTAGCCCAGAGGCAGATCTGGCCAGGGCAATCTTTGATGTGCAGCTTGGATGGCACAGTAGGTTACAGTGGAGGAAATAAATGCAATACTAACCACTCAACGCCCCCCAGCCCTACACAAAACTCGTATTTACAGGTTGTTTAATTTTAAATCTTCTTTCAGCATAAAAGCGCTACAAGTTTATCACTAACTTCTGCCTCTCTTAATAATTCATTTGTGCCGCAGTTGTACGGGTTTAATTAGCTGCTTCTGCTTTGGTGTTCTCGTGTCATGTTGTCTCTTTCATTAGATCTCTCCTCTTCAGCTGTGTTAGATGTTTGCACATTTCCTTGCTTTAAGCAATGTGGGCTATAATTGGGATCTAAAGTTGGAACAAGTCTTCAGTTACCATTTTGTTAATTCCTTTTATTTTCCTGTCAAAACCGTATGTTATCATGTACTGCCAATGAAGTGAAAGAGGAGTCAAAGGTAATCCACATCAGTTTTTTTGCTTCTGGCAAAGGTTTGTGTCTTTAGACTTGTTTTCTGTTATAAATGTCTCTATGAAAATATCCATATTATTTTCAGTTTCTCTTTCAATAGACACTGTGCCCAAGCATGTTACAGAATGCTGGAGGCTTTTAAGCTTCTAAAATCAAAAGTATCAATGACATGGTTTATTCAAATTCTCTGCAACTCTTTTATTGCTCTTTTTCCTGTCACATATAAATTTAATTTATTTTTTTTTTAAATAATATTAAGCTGGGATTGGATTAGTGTGAAAACCTGTGTTGAAATTTTGCTAAAGGTGTTAAGTTAAAGGGTGGGAAAAGAGAAAATAGAAGGCAGAAGTAGCAGCCTGGAAGCTGGAAAATGTGATCAAACAGAGGAAGGGCAGTCTCAACATGCAGGTAGTTTGTCAGATGTGTGGAACGGGCTTTGTTTTCCATTTGGAACGACTGTGGGGACAGACAGGGATGTTTTGCAGTGAAAAAGTGTGGAGGCAGCAGTTTTCTGCAAAGCTTTGGTCTTCAGGTGCTAAAATTTTGGAAGACTTAAATAAAAGTAGTAATGGAGAACATACTGTCATTTTATAACTTAAGAGCAAAATGAGATTCTGCTCTGAAATGATCGGTTTCATCAGCTTTTCGGGTAAGATCTGTACTCTGTAAGTATTCTTGAGGTTGAAGGTGATTATTCTGCTGATCCAAAAAATCAAGGAACTTGCAGAAATAAACTAGAAACATTTTAACACCTTTGTGCCATTCTGTGCCATTTTTCACACTAAAACAAACAACACAAATTAAAAAAAAATATTCTATAGGAAAATCTTTAGGATTCGGGCACAGTTCTGTCACAGTGACAAATAGTTGCCTTCCAAAAATGTTCATTTCCATTGTGCAAATATGTGTGTTTTCAGCATAATGAAGGGCAGGTTTTGGACATTTACTGCCATGAGTTTACCCAGGTATAGTGAACTTTATGTTTGCTGCTTGCTTATTACATTCAAACATATAACCCATTGTACTGTGTAACAGATTTCTGTCTATGACAAAGTTCATAAAGTTAACTTAGGTGGAGATAAAAAGTTAACTTAGTTGAAGATAACTGTACTGTGGATTATTCATTTTTTTATCTACTTCTGCTGTTCATGGCATGTTTTAAAAATAATTTTATTTATTTGTTATCTGTTATAGATTGTAATTAAGTAAAACCCACATTTGAAAATATGGAGAGGTTATGAATATTTCTGCTACTGCCATGGGGATGATATGACTTTATAGTTGAGGATTGAGAATAAAATGGCTGTGATAATGGAACATGGTTTTGGTTTTGTAAAGGCTTGAAGGTCTTCTGATACAGTAAATTAACAACCAGCTGATGTTCTGCAGTGCTGCTTAAAAGGGCTCTGTTTGATTTAAAAAGAGTGGAGGTTTTTTGTCTGAAGCAGCCATTAAAATTAAATAATTGCAATGACACACTTGCCATTGGATGGGAACTGAATCTCAGCAAGTGTTTGAGAATTCATCTCAAGTTCAAAAGAAAATGAGCAATCAATGTCAAGTCCAGCCCCCCCAGTGCCTTTGTCTGTGCAGTTACAATCCCACACCAGGACTTGCTCATGGCAACTCTGCTCTGTGGTTTCCAAATCTCTCTTCTTCCAAGGCTGTGACAAAAATTCCTACATGATATGTGGTTCAAATTCTTCTCAATGACAATCCTTATCTTGCCATAAAGATCACCCTGAAGGGTCAGTTCCTTGTATGTTTATGTTTTGTTTCAATTCTGTGCCCCCTTGATGTTCTGCACAGTCCCTTACCCTGTTTCAGAACCAATGCAGTTGTGTAACACAACTAATGAAGGTGCTTTTGTCATCAGTTTCTGCTGCCAAACTGAATATACAAAAGGCTTGATTTCTGATTTACAATGAAAAAAAAGAGAAGTTTCTTAAATTAGGACAATAGGAAAGATTTATGGGTTAGAGAGGTTGTGTAGCGTGGGGGCATTTTTAATTTCTTAAAAAGGAAATTTTAAATTGATCCTGGTTGAATTGACTGTTTCATTCTAAGATATTTATAGATCAATTACATGAAGTAGAGCTTTGGTTCAATATTAAGATGCAAAAGGATTAAATGGTTGGAAATGTCTATATTTTAAACTGTGATATGCATACTAAACTCTCTTGATGAAAACAGTTAATCTCAGATGGACAGTAACCTACCCTGGAGCCAACACTGAGGGCCAAAACATAAAGATCTTGGTACCAGAATCCAGTAAATAATTCCTTACACAATGTTTTTTCAGTATTTTGTCAGTTCCTGTCTCGATCCAAAACTCCAACAAGAAATGAATATAACATAGATTATGGTAACATATATTACCCCATTAATGTGCTTTAAATAGTGTCATCAAAACAACCTTTTCATAGGCCATTCTATGTATAAAATTAAATATGAGATTTTATTTAGAAGGAAGAATCAATCTGTAAGTGAATCAAACAAAAGACCAGGAAAAAATCACATTCATGTGTTGAATACAAATACAAAGAAAATTATGTGAGAAATAACAAATACTTACTTTGCTTTGTTATATATTATAGCAGGGCACCAGATTGAATAAAAGCTTTTCACTTTTCAAAGCAAAAACTTAAAAAAAAAAAGGTGGAGTAGAAAATGGAGTTCTGAAACATAGATAATTAAAATTACAGTTAAAATAAGGCTTTAAAAAACACATTCAGTGGTTTTTAGAGTCTTCATTTTTGTTCATGAACCAGAAAAACTAGAGATAAATTATACCTTTTCAAGTTTGTCAAACATATATACAGATATACAAATTGGAGGAAGTACCTCAAATATATCTGTAGCTCATGGTATATTTATAAATATATGTGTGATGTGGCACAAGGTGCAGACACACACACAGTTCTCCTGTTTGTACCATGACAGGAGACTTGCACAAGTCCTTTGAATATGAATTTAAATTGAAACATTTTGGGGGATATTTTTACCAATATTACAAACAGGGAACAACACTGTACAAATAACATGTTAAATGTTATAGATACAGACAGACCTCAAGTTTTATTAAGTTCCAGTTCGTATTCCTGTACGGGAATATCTGACTCCAACAGCCTTGAGTTGGGTTTTTTTTTCCTGTGTCAAATCTTCTTGGTTTTAAAAAAACAACAATAGAAGTGTTCTTTGAGAGCCATCCTGACTAAAACAGAGGAATTGAGGAATACTTGTTCTCAAACAGTTGGGTTTGAAGGGAAGAAAAAGAGGCAGTGGCAGACTGGTGAAGCACAGTTTGGGGAAAACAGCCCTATGGAGGTAAGAATCAGAAAACCACTTTGGGGAAAGATTGTGAAAGAACATTCTCCGAGTCAGTGTTTTGTTCTGCTCCACTTTCCATGGATGGATTTAAATAGATGCTGAGATTGTTAATGTTATGGAGAGAGGAATTCTACCAAATCTGTGTCATTACAGCAGAATTGCATCTGCACACATCAACTGGAGCAAGTGCTGCCAATAATACCAGAAACTATGGGATGTGGGATGCATTAGGCATCAGATTCCTTCATCTGGGCACTCAGGGAACCAACAGGAGGGTGCACTATCAGCTGGTCAAAGAGAATAACCTCGGAATAAATAACCACAAATTGATGCATTTTCAGTTAAATAGAAGGATAAACAAAAACAGGTTGGTGACTGAGGTTTCTAATTCCAAAAGAGCAGATTGAGAAACTAATTAGTGAAGTCAACAGGATTGAAGTGCCAAGGGACTTAATGTGAAGGAGCTTTGGAGTCTGAAGTCAGGGCTTCAAAATCTGTCTGAACTGCAGCACAAAAAAGGAAGCAGCAATTTACACAAAATGGAAACGTGTCTTCAACATTTGTTTAAAACCCAAAGGATCTGGAAGATGGCAGCCATCAAAAAGGTAAGATGGGACTGATTTTCAAAGAGAGGCCTTTCTTGAATGGCAAAGGTGTAATAGTGCTGCCCCAAAATCAGGCCAAATTATGCTTTACAAAGAACCTTTTGGTTAGTGGATATCAACCATAAAAAATAAAAAGTACAATAAAAGAAATGAGTAATTAGTTTGATAAAGCAGATACATATATTCATAAAAATGATTTTTCAAATTAATCCACAAAATGTTTATGTTTTGAACTTAATTTGCATGAGAATGATCAGATTATCGAAGGCAGGTTAGCAGCAGGTTTGAGCAATCTGTGCCTTTTTGGCCTCAGAACAGTGTTAAGTCTGTCTTTCTGCCCTCCCATAAATGTGTAGCTGTGCCAGTCACAAAAATAAACTCCTGGATGGTCAAAGCAAACAAAACAATTTTTTTACAGATTATTTTTACTGTAAAAGAACAGCTGTTGGAAAGATTTGTGATGTGCTTCATATATTCTGATGATTAGAAGAATGTTTTGTCTTTACCACTCTATCACTTATAAGTAGTTTTTTGATTTCAGTACACACAGTTTGACAAGGATTGCTTTTAGAGGGTCCTGTTTCTTAAATTTTTCTTTGAACTCTCTGGGCATAAGTGTAAATCTTGATGGATTTTGAAGTTACCATGCTAGAAAGAAGGCAGCTTAACCATAAATACTGTATTGTAATGTAAGATGTGAATTCATAACCTACTTACATTGTCTTTCAACACGTAATGAATAATATGTATTTTGGAATTCATATCTTAACCATAAAAGTGAGCTTTTAGCATCTATTGTAGTGTGCTTCAACAATTCTGTGGATTTTCCCTTATGTAACCAGCTGGTTTTTGGGGTACATTTTCTCCAGATTTACAGTCAATTCAGTGAAGTTATCAGGATCAGCAATTCCAAGCATCTATTTCAGATATAATGGAAGCTGCTGAAACATCCTCGTATATCAGGTATGAGAAGAATCTTTCATAACTTGAAATTTTAATATTTTAAAGCAGCGTATTAGGTCACACATTATTTAAAGCACTCCAATTTATTACTTTCATGCATTTTCTTCCACTGCTATCAAGTTCCCAAATAGTAGAGCTGCTGCTTGCAAACTGTATTCAACAGAACAAACCCCTCCTTGGTCTACAACATCCTGGACTTGGCTGCTTAGGCTTGATTTACTTGAACTGTCTCATCTGTAATCAGACCTCTATGTTCCACAGAAGTCTTTTAGTCTTTTAAAACCTAAGAGCTTATCTTGACATCCTCAATAATCTCAGATTTTCCAAACTCCAGATAACTGCAGAGAAATCCTTGTCTCCTTTCCCATTCCTCAAGAATAAATAAAATAACTCTGGCTTTTTGCTCCCCAAATGGAATTTTGAAGAAATTTAAATATTTTCACACCTGATTTTCTCATTTAGGATTGGCTTCTTTTTAAAAAGGTATTTCTGCTGAATACTGATGAAGATGGATGTGTGAATTTAAGAAATGCCCTATTGATGCTGATTAGAATTAAAAGTTAATATTTTTAATGCATGCCGTGAAATAACAGGTTCCATTAATTGAAGGCTTTCAAGAGATTAGAAGAAAAAAAATCATTTCTATTGTAAAAGGTTCTTAAAGTAATTTATACACAAATGTAAAAGGTGTTATTAAGGTACACTTTTTGAGTGGGAAACCACTGCTTAGAACTCAGCAAAGGCTTCAGCAGGATCAGCACCATTTCAGTGAAGGATTCAGTGCACTGGCAAAATAAGGTGAAAATGAGTAAACAGTCCCTGGTATCTGGGGGAGTGCTTTGGGATGATGAGGTAAAACAACCAAAGAACTTTCATTTATAGTAGCAGTACTCTTTTTCACTGCTATTCCCTACTGTCCTTCAAGCTGTATTGCAATAGGATGTCCTGTCTATCCCTTCAGGAATCAGGGCTGTGCCCAGTTGAGTCCAGCCACAACCCTTTTCCCTGCTGCCATCAATGCAGAGTCCGAGTAAATGTTCAACTGTGGACAAATTAGGCACTGGTCATAATTTTTTCATTTCGACTCATAATGAAGGAATTCTTCTGAAAGAAATTAATGTTCTATCTAGAAAAGGACTTTGGGTCCTCACACACCCAACAGCCCATGGTCTCCCAAAGCACATTCCTGGTTAGCAGAGAGTGATGAGATACCTCATCTCCTCCTACTATTTTAGTCCCTGTGACTACACCCTCCTGCTTGGCTCTTCCATTGCTGTGCATGTCCACACAGTTTCCCAGGATTTCATTCAAAATTAGACTCCTAATTCAGTGTAGATGTTTCCAGACTAGTGAATACTTTTCCTAGGATATGGATTGAGCTGTTCTGTACAAGGATGATTTATCAAGGCTTATTTGTCTTCTCAGGTTTCTTAACATGTCCACATAAAATTTAAAGTATAGGATGTACTTGATCAGGTTTGCAACATAATAATCACGGATTTTTGGCTAATTTTCCCTCTCTCTGTCCTGATCTTACAAAAAACCCTTTAATATTTCATTAATATTTGAAAGAATATTGGACTATAGGGAGAAAAACCAAGGTTGGACAGTGGCTTTAGCCATTATTAATCAAATTATTGTTTATGACTTTAATTAAGAGAGAATAAGAAGGCACAGAACTACAGTTTTTAAAAATGGGATGGTTCTCATGCTTCCTGCTGGGGCAGGAGTTAAACACCATTGGACTGTAGTATTGCTGCTGTTCTGACTGTAGGTTTTGTCTTAATGGTAGCACTGAGTGCTTTATGGGCTGCAATGCAATCTTCCTGTGAATAATAAATCACTGTTCTTTCAGTGCCAGCCCTGACCTTTTCTCCCCGAGATTGTAACACATCATCATAAAATAACGTCGGCGTGATGGAGAATCATCTGCCCCGTGAAGAGGGATTCTGGATCCTTAAAGAGGGAGCTCAGATCAGGATGACTCTTCAGTTACGAATGGGTGACACTAACCTGACAAAGTACCTGGAAAAAACAGCAACACTCTGCCCTAGAATAAATATGTGCCTTCAAGAGCTCTGCTTCTGGAAGTTTCTGAAGGTACAAAGGAGACGAGCACACACAGTGATGGGAGTTCTCAAAGGTACACCCAGGAGGTTCCCTTCAAAGAGATGCTGCTGTCATTGATATTAGTCAGTATAAATATTGAAATGAGGTCTTTCTTTAAAGATATTGGTGTGTTTTCAGATCAAACTGCTTTGAAAGCTCCCCATTGCTCTACTCACAGCAGGTATTTTTTTATACAATGAAATGTATTCTGGACAATGCTTGATTTCATTTTCCTCTCTGGAAAATTATTAGATTTTCATAAAGTTTTTATCCACTGTGTGCAGGCACAAGGTATATGAGGAAGTTCTTTGGATTGGATTTCTTATCTGTCAAATAATTTATTCTCTTCATGTAGTCTTTTGGTGTATGGATTTTCTACAAGGTAGTGACTGTGTTTGTTTTATTTATTACAAATTCCAGATAACGAAAGAAGTTCAGAGAAAGTATGGGAATGTAAAAAAGTCATATTAATACATGTCTGTTCTGGACTCCCAAACTTGTCCTATGGTATTTCCATTTCCCCTTCTACTCATGTGTCTACACATACATACATTTTAAAATATTATATATAGTATGGAAAGAGAGAGAAAGAAAATATGAATTTCTGAGGAGCCCAAGGAAGCTGGAGTGGGGTTTTCTCAAGCAGAAATTACTTTCATCTAATTTAAAAGGATATTTCTAGTTTTCTTCCTTGTGTGTTTATTAGTAATCTTTATCATTTAAACCCCGGTCCATTAGTTCTCTGTGCACTCTGGATTGCACAACACATATATATGATCTATATAAATTATCTGTGACTTAGAGAAATCGTCTGAGTTATGAGAAGCACAGTGAAACTTTTCCTTTCCTTTTTTTCCCCACTCTGTCATGTCCTGCTTGCACTTAACCTTTACTTATTTAATCCTACTTTAGTCATAATTGCATACTCTCTACTCCATTCATTTGGCATCACTCAATTTTTGTGTGATCTTCACATTTTGCAGTATTGGAAAGTAATCTTACAAAAGTTTCAAATGTTTCTTTTACTTGCATTATGACACAAGAATAAAAAATATCACCAAGGAAACGGTAGACTTCAGAGACAATTTATTCTTTTAAGTCAGACCAAAGTTTAATTTAGATGAAAATCCTGGAAGACATAATTCCTCACAAAGTCAGTAATGTTCTTCTCATTACCTGGTAATGATAGTCTAATTCTATCAAAAGGAATTTTTAATAATATAGCTGCATGTCTGAAACTTAACAATTTAGAATGAAGATGACACTATCCAAAGGCTTAAGAAAACACATTAACTGAAGGTAGAATAAATCACCAACAAAGAACATTGTCATTTTCTCAGCTAATATTTCACCCTTTTAGCCTCATCCCAATATAGCTTTTACATTTTTAGGTAGTGATGGGCACATCCAACCCCACAGAAGGGCAGAAAAGGTCACATTTAGAAGTTTTCTTTGACTTCTAATGTTCTTCCCTGTTTTCTTTGTATCCATCAAGTACCATCCTGCTTTTCTGTGGAGCTTCGCCATAATTAACCCTGTGTTACTGAGGCAAGATCCAACTCCTGGAGGTGGACACAGTCCTTTAGGAAACATTTATATCTTGTCCCTCAGAATGGGTCTTACAGGTCATTGCAATTGGTTGGTGACTCTGATTAAACTCCATAAAGGTGATCAGAGTTCACCTGCTGCAGAGGAGTCATCAGTGGCTGCAATTGAAAAAGGGCTTCACTCTGAATTTGTCTTTAGATTAGCTATTTAAAGGGGGTTCTCTTTTTCCCATTGAAATGTAGGAATACTTTAAAAAGGAACCCAAAACTTAGTTACTTAGTTTTGCAAATTCATTCGCAGCTTAAACATGACTGGATTTCCAGATTTTTAGTTTATATTTCAGGTTGTTAATTTATGTTATTAACTGCAATCATAGGGTGTAAAATTTCAGCCCGAGTTATAAAAAATTTGTTACTCTCCTCTAAGTGCTAAAACACGCTTGGAAAAACATGGAAATATATTAAACCTTTCATCTTCAGACTATTAAAGTAGTATTTGTATTTTAGTGTTTTCCCCTTTGTTATTATTTCTCCTTTCTTACAAGCAAAATATGACAAGGAAGTTCCAGTTCTTATATGCCTTTTGATTATTCTTCCATACATTGCATTAATATGAAAAAGGCTGAAAGTTACCTCTTCATTTTACATTCTTTTAATAAAGAAGATAAATTTTGTGATTCATTTTATGAGACCTTAATAGTACTACCCATATTGGCTACGGCTCAGAGTCAGAGCTGAATTTTCTGGAGAATCACAGAAACTTAACCTTAGAATTTAACCCATGATAAGCAGGTTCTAACAATATTAATTTTAAAGTCTGAGTTTTCAATTTTATACAATGCCGTGCCAGCAAAAGTAAATGTACGTTTCTGTCCAGTCATTTGACTTTTTTTTTTAACCTGTTATTCACATTAGTGTAAATTTTGTTTGCCATTAATAGTCTTCATCCATCCCCTAAATGATTTAAATAATTCTAAGATATCTTTTCACAAAGTTTCTGCATCCTCTTGAAAGTGGAATATTGAGAATGTCTGAGCCTCTTGAGAATGTCTGTCCCTTCATTTCAAACTGGAATAATCAGCAGTAACAGGAACAAAGAAGGAAGGACCTATTGTAGTAATGTGAGCACTTCATAATAAGTGTTTTGTAGATTTTTATGATAGTGATAGTTCCTCTCATATTCATGTCTCAAGAAGTCTTTCTTTATCACAGAATAATTCATGAAAGAACTCATGAGAGACCAGCTGTATATCTCTGAAAGGTTGCAGCCTAAACATCTGCTGAAACCTGTAAATTTAAGTAAAGTCTGCGAGACTGATGTTGCAGTTCTTTTCCTTTGTAAATACTTATTTTCCATATGTTTCTGGATCACGACTGAAATGGTGCACCTGTAATTATACAGAAAATACCAGGGAGGTCTGGCAGGTTTCCAGGATGTTTGAGAGAGGAAGATCTCAGAGGAAGATCTAAAAATGACCCAGTGGATGGACTGATGATTGCTTGCAGTTTATGTCTAAACTTTCAAGAGATGAAATTCTAAACCCAGTATAACATGGTGAAGCATAACCTCTGTAGGTTTTGATTGTTGCGTTAATTCACTTATATTTTTTCAGAAACAATTTGCCATGTTTGAATACTTGTAGCTCATTCATAAGAAAAATATCTGGAAATTCAAAGATGACATAATTTTGTTTCTCTTGCGTGTTTTCCATCCTAACATTCAGTGGTTTGTCCTAGTTATAAGTTAGAAACAGTGGGTGAGATTTCTCAATTAGTGTATTTTGTTCCCTTCAGCAGGAGTGTTGTGTGTTGATCTTGGAGTACAAATCCCAAAGAACTGTGTCTCACATTTGATTTTGTAGAATCTGGAGTTCCATGTGAGTTCATTACACCGTCTTAAATCAGCTCCTAAGAGAGATGCCCTGATGAAGGAGCTTTTACAGTTCCTACGCAAGAGGAATAAAAAATAAAAACAAATGCCATGTAGTTTTGACACTGTTTGCTGACATACACAGTGCAAGCTCCTGTTGTGTTATAAAATATTCATTTTAGTTAACTTTTAACAAATAATACACAGACTAAAATATCCAGCTATGGAAATAATTCAAGCAATGACCTGGAAGGAGGTTTCTCAGTGCCACTGTCCTTTCCTTTGCTCAAACAGAAGTGATTCTGTCTCAAAACTATCACTTATTTAAAGCTGTGAAAACGGAATTAGAATTGTGCTAATGACTTCTGGCAAAACTGGGCCATATTTTTTCCTGCAACATTATAAATGTCTGAGACAGTTGAAAACAAACAGGGTCATCTGAGGGGATAGTTGAGATGATGATCACGGGGAAAGCAATCAGAGAGGTTCCCAAACATCCTTCATTAGTATGAGGGCAAATACATTTTACAGGACATGAATCTAAGAGGAAGTTGTTGTGAAATGGAAAACCGCCTCAGTGGCAAGAGGTTTGGAAAATCGACTCTGGATTTGTTATAGTTAAAAAGCCTGCAGCTCTGTGCCTACCACACGTACGATGGGGAGAAACGGAACAGATGCTTTACTGAGGGCCTGGAATATAAATCAGGCTGGGAGCGTTAATCTGTGCACAGCCCAGGGTAGTTTTTTTTTCTGAATAAATACTTCTGAATTAGAGGAGTTAAACAAGTGTGGTTTGCCACTCGTCCCACTGTGAATTGCAGGAAGTTTTATGATAAAACAGTTTAATCTTGGCTAACATTAAATCTGCGTGCGGAATGCACTGATTCAGCACATTTGCACTGGATTAAACTGCACTTTTGTAAACATCCCTTCTAATTCTCCGTTATTTGTTTAATCAGCTATTCTTTTCCCTTTCTGTGAATGTAAGAAATAGAAATATATCACTTTAACGTGATGATTGACATCAGTAATGGTTACCCTTCAGTGTTTCCTAGGCCATTGTGTTCACAGGGCCACAAGTGAAGTTTGACAGGTTTGCAATTAAATATTAACCCCCCTACACACCACATCTCATCAAATTGTAGGGAAACAGCAATTTTAGTTAAATTATCTCAATTATTAAGTTCTGACAGTACTATATAAAAAGAGACAATGCATTTCTGTTTTGTCACTCCTCAGCCATGGTTCTGCCTGTTGCCTTCTTTCACTCCATTTTCCTTCTCAATTAATTATGTTTAACAAAATAACTGCAGGTTATTTCAAGTCCTCAGCACTTAAGATACAGAAGTGTTACAAGAATTTGCAGTTGTATCTGTTATATTTTGAGGCCTGTTAGTGTTTTTGGTATCATCTCCAAGCAATTTGAGTGTTCCTTTCACTCATTACTGGGAACTCTACATTAATTCTCAATATCAACAAGTCAGTGTCTCTTCCTTTTAATTCAAGGTGGTTTATCT